TGAGTACAATACAACGATTACCTATCAAAGTAAACACCACGAGCATATCGTGAACATTTACTAAATGACAAAAATAACAGTATTATGTAACAATATTGCTTTCTATAATACTAGATGTATTAAATTATTATTTCTTTACAAACAATGACTAAGTCGTATAGCGATATTAGTTCCTAAATCTCCCTATAGAGGCACCTAGAATGATCACTCGTTAGTCGCTTTTACACATAGATAAAAAAGAATTATAGCGTAAAATAAACATGGCAATAGCATAAAATAATACAGCAATAAAATAGCATAGAAGAAGATAGTACCTGCGGTCTTGAAATTTGAACTTTGATAGTAAACTCTAGTATCAAGCAATTGTTGTCTATCGCAGACTATTTATGGGATATATAATCACGAATGAAAAAAAAATATACTTTTGAAATAAATTAACTTATGTAGTTTTGTAGCATAAAAAAGTCATAATGTTTTTAATGTAACTTAGAATAGCAAACAAGCTGGCGGCCCACCTGATGGAAAGTGGTAACCGTCACCTATAAACATGAGCAGTATCATGGACATAACAGAATATACTGTTTCGCCCATGATACCATGCGTTGCCATTCCTGAGGACTCAGGTATTACTTCTCTGTACTCTGTAAATTCACTGCCATATCCCACACCATTCAAACCAAACCACAGATGCCACCATGCAAATAACTGCTTCACGGTAGAAACACGAATGGGCAGAAAGCAAATGACTTCTGTAGGGGGGAAAGGGATTGTTAGTAATGGAGACTAAAAATCCCATTGCTAGCAATATACATATACATCGATTACCCTTTACTGGTGCCCCGCCAGCATATCCCGCTAAAGCAGGCGGGGTTACCATTCCATTTTCACACATAAAAAAAACGACTCTGTACAAATTATATTATACATAACACCACAGAGCAGTGCTACTAGTTTTATTTACTTTCAGTATTTATTAAGTCAACAGCGCCATCTTACTTTTTACTTAGTAACTTAACGCAAACATCGATCGAGTCTTAAGCGCAAGTACCTGCCTATTGCTTATAAAGCACTTCGGCAGAAGCATAACATTCAAAAAACACAAAATAATTACAATGGCCAATAGTTACCGTTAGATGCCGATAGCTATTTCTGAATACTTAAATTATTTAATTAATTTAATTAATTCTATAGAATTATCTACATATAATTCTAAGTCACGTGACTGATATAATGATGAAAATTAAGTATAAACAAGTATGCCAGTAATATCGGTTATTTTAATGGGTCTATTATATTGTACTCATATATTTTGTTTCAATAGATACAAATAATAGTAATAATAAGTTTTATTTTACCCAACTGTCGAAGAAAAGAGGGTGTTGTTTTTTTTATATATATCTACTATACAGGTATTTAAGTATGCACTTATCTACGATTTAGCACAACGTATAACCAACTCAGTTTTATGGACTTCAACAAATTAAATATAGTTAGATTTATCCGAATTTCGGGAACATTGTAAGTTATGTAGCAATAAAACAAAATAAGTATGACGGCCACAAACTGTAAAAGTCTTATATTGTAGACGAATTTTTTGTGACCACTTGTTCTCGTGACTTTTAAAAATTGATTATAAACATGAGATAAGTAAATAATGGAACCAGATTTTAACAATTTCAATCAAATTAAACGCCTAATATAAGTAGTTGCTATATTAGTTGAACTGTAACAAAATACAAAGTGTAACAAAAATTGTAGGCGTGAGGAAAAACGCATTAAAATCGTACAAAAACAAATGTCAATTAAAACATCGTTTCTCAACCAGAGAGTCGCGACCCTTAAGAAGGGGGGGGGCGTAATCTGTTGAAACATAATATAGATATTATGTATATACATATATACAATGTAATAAGAACATGAAAAAGTAAACTTATAGCTTACTTTATTTTATTAAAATTATTAATCATGAACATTAATTAATTAATGCGATGTATGGGAAAATGAATGCAAAAATATTTCTATACTTGGATCATCATTGCAAACACTCATAAGTAAATTATTTTCAAGTGATAACAGATGATTTCTGTATTTAGTTTTTAAAGCCATCATAGACGAGAATCCTTTTTCACATAAATAAGAATTGGCAAAGGGTATCAATATTTTCAAAGCTTCTATTACTATTAAATTAAGTTAAATTTCTTGCAAGTTCAACACTTCTCCACAAGATGGCCTTAAATGTATTTTTACACATATGACGAACCGTTACAATCTCTCCTACACCATGTGGCATCTCATCCACACTGTGTGGGAGAGATGGCCAGTTCCTAATAGTTCTTATATGAAATAAATATCTAATAGTTATTATAATTAATTTTGTCCCCCCTCCCCCATAATTGTGTATAAAAACTGGACTGCAAAACTAAACTTAGTTTTTGGAGGTTTTTTGATAATTTATCAAAAACGGTGCTAGTTTGCAATATCATTTTGTTTTTCTTAAAAATATTCACATATATCCTTATAAACTATAATTATATCAGAATTTATACTTCAGAGATTATGAAGGAGGATGCTATTTTTTCTCACACTTTCAATCATAAATCAAAAACTACGCAGCATTAAAACAAACAAAAATCAGTTTCAAAATTTACAAATGAAGCCCTTTCATATAGCATCTTTCTTAAACTAGTAGATCTATTTTTAAATTGTGAGTGCCTTTTTTAGATTCCCTAGCAAAGAATGCAATATATGTGAGCTAATAATATGTAAAACTATTTCAAATTTCAAATCTATGGAATCAGTTGCTTATATACGAGTATAGTACTACAACAGACGGACGGACAAACGTGCACTAAAATAATTCTTTGGTACCTTTTTGATACAGAATCCTAAAGAAACTACTTATCTCGTGGAAGAGAGAGAGTGATGATAAATAATTGTCCTACCATTTTTAATTAATACTGCTTAACTCTAATAAAGAAGAAATAATACCAATTGACAGGCAACATAACTATACATTAACATTAATCACTGCACCCATTTAAATAACAATGCTTAGCCACATATAATACTTGGCTTAGCCATTAATCACTTAAACAATTTAAAAATTCCATTTGAAAATGTCAATGTCGCTAGAGAAATAGCCACATTGAGATAAGGGCTTCTTTAATTATTTATAGTTAAATAAATTTTAATAATCATGCCAAAAATACTATCAAGATTATTATCAGAATTAACTTTGCAAGTCTAACTACCAATAAATTTAAAAATCCTAATATTATACTAAGGATTAAGATTTTGAATAAAATTCCTATCCTTTTTTTAAATTGTATAAAAATCCCATCTGACGATACCTAATAAATAAGTGATAAAAATACATATCACTGGGCATATTCAAAAGTGCTATGTAGTCCCAAACTAAACGGGGTTTGTACTGTATAATAAGCAACTACCTAATAGTTACAAAATAATATCAGTAAATAATGATATTCCCATATAATATGGGTATCCTAAGACGCAACTAAGAAAACTTAGTGACCGAAAATTGGGCAGCACAGTCCCTCTTAATACATTCCCAAAAGCCTAACTGTGATTGCCACACCTCCTGCCAAGTGTGAAAACTACTGGCACCCTGATTAATTGAATAACCCCTCATAGGGCAGGCCTATGTTCAACAGTAGACAATTAATGGCTGATATAAATTAATGATGGTACTAACAGTTTTTAATTTTAAGACGGTTTATGATAGACACACAGATTTTAAATGTTAATCTCATCAGAATTAGAAAAGTATAATAGCAATTTATTTGCTGGATTTGATTATAACAATATACTATAATAGAATATATATAATAGAATACTTTAACAGTACCTAGAGCAAATAAAGAAAAAAAAATTTGAGATTTTTTTTTTTTAATTGACTCGTAGCATTTAAAGAAATGGCCTATAACAAAAAAAAAGTATCGACTATATATATATACTATATAAAGTAAGATGTATTTACTGACTGTCTCACCACAAACACGTACACGTAGTGCTATGTGAAATCGAGAATTCGCTAGGCGATCAACATATTGCTCTTCATGTCTATAGGCGACGCTTACTGCTTTCCATTAGATGGGCCAACAGCTTTTTTTTTATACAACTTAGATTGGTAAACAAGCTGACGGTCCATCTGATGGAAAGTGGTAACCGTCGCCTATAGAAATGAGCCGTACCATGGACATAACAGAGTAAACTGTTTCGTCCATGATACCCCCATGCGTTGCCATTTCTGAGGACTCAGGTGTGATTCCTCTATGCCCAGTAAATTCACGCCATATTCCACCCTTCAAACCGAAACACAGCCATGCAAACACAATTGCTTCACGGTTGAAACACGAATGGGACAGAGGTACCCAAGCAATCGACTTTTGTATTATAAAAAAAATTTAAGTTTTTATCAATATATGAGCGCTATTTTGAGCTTCCTTATGCACACAAATACCTCATCTTGCTGTACAAAAAAAGACAAAAGTAATTTCTGAAGCTAGATATATCCCGCTTCCTTACATTTCATTCCGGGTATGTCTAACACAAATGATTCGATAATAGATAAAAAAAATGCAATGGGGCTTCATTCAGGAAAATTCAATATACAGCAAAGCGATCCCTCACTAAATGACATGACGACCTCAATGATTTAATATAGGAAGTAAATGAAAGGAACAAGAAGCAGGTAACTTCGGACCCTTCCTTATGACACTATAAAGTAGATCTATTCAGCAATGGACAATAAATGGCCGAAATAACGATGAACAATACTACTTTTATATTCATCAGTTTCTATATTATTCAATAGTACTTTCGCAAAACAAACCTTACAGGAGGGTACTACAACGGCGAATTCGTGACCGCAGAATGCAATAATACGATACTTACTTACAATAAAGAGAAAATTGCATAATATTCGTATTCATGAATGAATCTTTGCATTTACATCTAGATAAAATCTCCGCGTGGTTTTGGCGGGAAACCCCTACCAGTTAGAACAGAACCGGCGCGTGCGCAACACGCGTCTGTACAAAATTCAAATCCGATACGATCGCGAACGCGACGTTTTGTCTCCTGGGCCTTTTTGTTTTACAAATAGTTCCAATGGAAGTAATGGGGACACACCTCATTTCCTTTTGTCACGATTCTCTTTAACACAGTGTGAATATGCTTTGTTAGTTCAAAAAAGAAGTGTTAGTTCAACTTTCCTAAAACTTTAAACAACTCTTATGTCTGAAAACTAAATTATAATATATACATATTTATTACTAGCTAAAATATAACTTAAAGTGCAAAAAATCTAACCCGTGATATTACAAGAAGTTTTACTAAGCAGATAAAAAGGGCAATTGTAATTTATTGAGTTCAATTAAGGTAATTCTAATACGCTGTTATTGTATTAACAATTAACAAGATGCAGTATCTACTTACCTATTTAACTATACGTGAACTAACATTAATATTTATTTAATTATGACATAGAATGATAAAACAAATTACAAAACCCTCTAATATCATTAATTCTGCCGGATGAGGCAGAAAACACACGCTCTTCATAACACTAATCCGTAATTACGTGCAATATAATGTGGACTATAATCTCATCATGTCAAAGAATATTAACTAAAGTACAAATCTTATGCAAAAATCGTGATGTATCCTATCCATCATCATAACTAAAGTAATACTATGTTATTACCCACATAACATTATTGTCGTCTAATAATAAATAGCAGCTCAATTATTCATAACTTAAATAACACATATTTGTCAAAATAAACATGTCATAGTTACCATTATTAATTAGCAAAATCTCGTAATTTGTTTATTAGATTCTATAAGATCATTGTTTATAGTGGACAAAATGATATCCTCTATAAAACATACGCAACAGTAATGTAAAGAGAGTGTGATAAACGTGTAAACGCTAAAAAGAGATTTCGCGAAGTCTTAATGCTCATGTAAGTTCTATTAATGTAACTTCTATACAAATATCCTTTTTTCTAGACAGCTTTGTTATACAATATCTTTCAATCAGTCAATATTAAAAACACCGTTATTAGCGTATATAAATAGCGCAGACGAGATTGTCATCCGATTTTCTTTCATTAGATGAAATACAGTAAAAATCAAATGTATGGAATTGCTATATACAAATGATTAACATAAACTACTAAAGCTAATTTTAATGAGTCAGTTCCATATAATTTGATAAAGATATTAAGTATTAATAATAACAATAACGTTATGATGAACTTAATTAACCAGATCCTACAATTTGTAAAATAACTATATGTGTATAAATTCTTTAATTTTTCATTGCCTATTTGAATTAGGAAATCGTGAAAATGCTTAACAGCGGTTGCCACTTTTCATCAGGTGGGCGGGCCGGCAGCTCTTCAATCATTCTGAGTTCTTTATAATAATTTTGTGATAATTCTATCGCTCTAACACACGAACATTATATCAAAAGTGACCACTTTGTCTGATATAAAAATGCGCCTATTGTATACCTACTCTTTTGCAAACAAAGAAAATATGAAATTTTAATGTGTTATTTTACAATGGAGTGTCCATAAATATATTATATATTAATATAACTAAACTATTTATTTAGCTTCAGCAACAATTTTCCTAACATGTGATCTAAAATATACGATTACTTATAAATGAATAGAGCATGCATAATAACAAAAAAAAAAGTTGAGTTGTAGATCAATGTGCTTTAAAGGAAATGTTCCGCCTCATCTATTATAAACTGTACCAATTATCCGATGCTGTTACGTTGCTTTAAAATTATCAATCAATTATAAAACGCACACTTCACGATACACCTACACTAAATTTTTAACTCATTAATTTATTACGAATAGACCTTTACATAAGAGGGTTAATTTAAAAGCATTACTTTAATTAAAGAATAAATCTATTTCTCGTTCTCTGTAATAGATATAACTCGTATTATTCTCTAAACGATAGATTTCCTTTATTTAAACAAGTTGTTGCGACAAAGCTCCAAAGACCCTGTGTCTACTGTACTTGTAATTTAAAGTAATGTAAATTGGATTGTCTTTTCCGCGCTAAGCCTCTTATTTGGGCAATTGTGCATATGAGTTGTGGCTAGTACAGCAAACCCAGCTCTACCCAAAAGCACAGAAGCTTCCTGGGATCTTCACAGGCCTCACTTTTCCAAAGATTTCTAAACGTTGAAGGGCCACAGTTCCACATTCCAGGATTAGGTGAACAACAGTTTCTTCGGCGTCAAAACAGCCTCGACAAAGAGGACTGTCTGAGTATAAATGCTCCTATTATGTATAGATGTTTGTTTAAGTGGCAATGGCCCGTTATTGTCCCTATTATTGTTTTAAGATTTTTTTCTATCTAGATATAATAAATGATTTCATAGACGTTGATTGATCGTCGGTACTGTCATTTTTGATTGTCTGCTATCAGTAGCCTGTAACTATTTTTGGTTTTTGGTTTTGAATGTCAGTGGATCTTTGATGAATCCATGTTCGAAACTACGAAAACAAAAAAGGATGAAGTGTATACGGACCTGTCAGTTTCATTCCAGAACCCCTTCTAGTTAGTTCGTCTGCGGCATCGTTACCATAAGATCCACTGTGCCCCGTTATCCACTGGAGAATAACTCTGTCTGTAGTACTTATTTAAGATGTCATTTTATAAATTATATCATTCCCATTATTAAGATGAAACAAAAGATATCTCGTTTATTATCACCTGTTAAGCCATATTGCGCCAAAGACTTGCTAAAAAAGAAATTCTTCAACAGTCATATAAAAATTTAAAAATATTAAACCATCAGTTTTGTTCATGTTTTCATTCTATCCTGAAGTTTACCGTAAAATTATAAACTTTTTAGTCTGAAATATCCAATTAACTTACGACATTTCAAACGTCCAAGAGTTGTTATTTTATTTATTCTGAACAATTACAATTCTATAAAAAATAATTAAGTCCTGTATTACTTTAATATTACCATCGATACCTCATTTCATTAAATGAGGTAAGTACCATCAGTTCTGATGAAAAATATTTCTAAAATAGCAGATAACTAAAATAAATTAATATTTTTTACCAGCGGGAGGCTTTGTTTTACTAGACTATAACAGATTCACTAAACTGAACTGACTTATCAAATAACTTATTTTTTCATAAAACCTTGCCAATATATGTGAGTTTGTTTGTTTCTTATCATTTGGCGCCTTAACAATCCATCAAATATCATGAAATTAAACATAACATACATATATACGTAGTATTGAAAATAACAAAACATTTGAGCTACATTTTATCCTAGTCACCCAGAAGTTAAAAGCGTAGCTAGTGTTAATAAATATTTATTTCTTCCGTAATATGATAGTGAGATTTAATTAAGAGTTTTTCTCTAACATTATTATTAAACAAAAACATTAGGATTCATTTCGAACAACTTGATAAGTGGATGTACATTTACAGAATTGGTAGGTATAAATGTCAGATTTAGATCGTTAAATAGTCAGGAACAGCCATTTTGGTCATGAATAGTTCAATGGCTTATAAGCATTCGCATATAGTAAGAAAAAGTAGTAAGGAAGCTAAAATAATCGCCATACTGCATATTACTTAATATATTTATAATATAATTTAATATATTTTAATTACGAGCGTGCATAAAAAGATTGATGAATGTAGAGGAAGCGAAAAAGAACTTGCTTGAGTCGAAGCATTTGGCGTTCCATTGTGTCTGCCTATCCTAAAGGGAGACAGTCGAACCAATATGTATGTATGTATGTAGTATATAAAATACAATCGACTAGAGGATTTCATTTTTTATACCAGTTAATAAATAAGAGTGCATATTATCAACTATAAAAAATAATTGTATTTTTTACTTTTTTAATATTATGTACTATAATATAATTATTAAATTTTGTACCACTACATATTTATATAAAAACTATATAAATATACATTAAAATTAGTATTACGTAATTTTTTAAATATCAAGAAGGTAAGAATAAGAAAACAAATTAGCAGTATACAAAACTAAATACAACATGCAGATAGCGTTATCCTATTTAAAATTTCAAACCAGTATTGGATTTGGAGACTTAGAACTGTTAAACTCATTACATATTACTTATCACGAAATTCTTTGATAGGTAACCTCTAATAACAACGTGTAATATTTTTTTTTAAATTGTAGCAATAATCTGTTATAGATTCATATCGACCAACTTAAACATTAAGACATATATATTTTACTCTTGTTTATTTGTCTGTCTGTATTTGCATGCATCACGCAAAAACTACTAGATGTATTAGAATGAAATTTGATACAGTTGTAACTTAATATCTGAATCCATTAAAGGATGTTTTAATGCAAGAAAATATCTCATCCCCGCGATAAATATCGAAACTGGTTCCAGCATAATATATATATATATATATATATATATATATATATATATATATATATATATATATATACATGTTTTACAAATTTAAAATGTTGGAAATTGCTTTCTACCTATCTGATTAAAAAAATATTTCTTAATAAGATAGATTACTTATACACATCACTTATATTATAGCTTATATTCTTATGTGTATATTGAAATTTAAGCAGACAAAGTCGTAAAACCAACTTGTCAGTTCAAAGTAAAGGAAGTCAAGTAAAGCTGTGGTAAAGAAAAACCACAGCTACCACACTTATTATACGTTACTTATCAAATTACTTATCGCATTTTCAGTCATCAATATTATTATTTTGCTATTATTAAATGTATTACTATTAATATTTATTTACTATTATTTCATCTTAAATGTCACATATACATGTCACACCTAAATATGACATCGATATCTTAAAATAGATTTACCGGGTGCTTTACTGCCGTGAAGCAGTTGTGTTTGCTTAGCTACGTTTCAGTTTGAATGGTGAGATATGGCAATAAAATTATTCGTACAAAATAGAGGTATAAGACCATAGTCCAGGAATGACAACACATGAAAGGTATTTCGCTTGTTTGCCATTCTGAGTTGCATAAAACACTTTTTTTTTGTAAAATTAAAATAATAGATAACACAGATGTTATTTGTAAATAGCAATGTGTTTTCGAATATCATCCTAAAGGGAAAAAGTCACAATAATAATTCTATAATTAATGTCTTAAAATCAATATCATTATTTTGGTCCTAAAATTAGCATGTACCTATTATTAGAAACCAGACAATGAAAATCTGGGGATACAAGCTAGAACACTAAAACCTTAACTTGAGGAAACTATATTTACTAAATTAACTCTACTAATCATCGGTCGTCCTGATTTAGATTTATAGTCGTAAAAACTTCGCAACAGAATATACTGTCGCATAATTTTGATTACTAATCGAAACCTTTAATAATGCAGACAAAATATTTTTTTTTTTTAATTTAAGTATATTTTTTATATACTAACATATTTTCCTTTACTATAAATCGAAACCTATTACAGTAAATATTATTTGGATATTTGTATTTAAAATCCCTATATATAAAAGCATGTCTAAATATTGTGACGATTTGTAGTGCAGGTATACTTTAGAGACAATTAAAATATATTTATTAACATACTCAACATTCAAATTAATAAAAATAAAGTTAATAACAGGCTCTTTAATGTCATTACTGGCTAAAGACCTTAAAATATTATGATCACGTCACCATTTAAACGGTGCATAGGTATTTAGCTAATATTAACACCTGGGTATGGTGCGGAGACGGAACTATAACCCAAAAGATATTAAAGAACAAATCAGTAACATAATATTGTTTTATATTTAGTGCTTATATATACAATACATAGACGGTAATAATAATATAGTATTTTTGACACTATAATGTATAAAAATTATTAAGCCTGTTTTAATAAAATTCTGCTAAATTTTCATAGCCTGATATTTTAGTAACTATTCCGTCAGAGTCTTTATGTAAATATAATTGACTTATTCACACATTTTATTTGAATTATAATTGATAATATCTAGGTCATGTATATACTTAAAATATACATTCTTAATAGTAACATTAACCGGGATAAAAATTATATATAAACAAACAGATGCTTACATATAGATTTTATTCCGATAATCCCATAGAATAGTCCGTTCATATTTGGACTTTTTTGTAATAAACTCGTATATTTAAATCTCTATCTCGTATATTGTATAGATAAAGAAATAATTAAATCTAAGTGGACTAAACTGAGGAGATATGAGTCAGAAATTTCGGACTAAAATCAAATGCTTTTAAAACATATAGGTTGATCTTACAATGAACTAAGTAAAGAAATAAAAAATAAATTATTTATTTTTATTTATTTATAAACATAGTAGGAGCGCACTACAATTCTGATCTATGAAATAGATACTTATACTTGTAATTTTCACTACTCATGCCTATGACCCGTTCACCATAACCTATTATAAAAAAATCTAATAAGTTTATATTAAGACTAATAGCTACAATATATTAAGTAAAATTACATAATACTTATATGCAAAAGTATTTTATAATTCATACCTACTGATACTTATCGTAAGTTCTGGTGTAACAGTTACGTTGCATTATCACTTTCAACTTGACCAAAATAAGTTACAGGAATAACAGTCCAAGCGTGACACGCATTATATAACTGCATCGTATAAGGGTTTTGACAGCTGTCAATAAATACGGATCACAGACAGCAATCCCGTTTAGTACATGACATTGCCATTTATTTCTTCGATCATGTCCAGTCATATTCCATTCGTAATATCCACTTGTTATTCAAAGTACGCGGTCATTTTCACTATCGCACAATGTGCTATTGTATGAAACACTTTCTATAGTAAACTGCGCCTTAATACGTTGCATTTGTAACAAATTACGTATTTTATTTGTCAAAACATATATTGCATAAAATTATTACTTTTTTAACTTGCTTTACATGTAAGTCGTACAAAATTTCTTAATCTAATCCGAACAATCTACGTATATATATTTTTTACTATTTGTCTATACTAATATTATAAAGAGGTAAGGTTTGATTGTTTCTTTGTAAGGTAGAAACTCAAAAACTACTCAAGACATTTTCTAAAATTGTTTCACCTATAGAATGCTACATTATTAGTGAGTAACATAGGCTATATATTAATCTTGAAAATTATATCTACCCGTACAAAGCCGCACCAGCTGGCTAGTTTATTATAAAATTGAATTAAATTTTGTGTACTAACTAAAGAATAAAATTGATTAATATATAAAGATATTATGATAGAAAAGAAAGTAAAGAAGTGAATGAAGTAAATTTACACTCGAGTCTAAAAGAAAAATAATGCAAGCAATAAGAAACTAATATTTTATAAATTACAGATAATTGAAGTATTATAGATGTTTATCCATAGCCAAAGTTGCAGTTCAGTTAATTTTAATAATATCAAATTATTAAAATTACACAGATGAAAGACATAAATGATAGAAAAAACGCACAGGTTCGACAACATACTTTTCAACCGACTTTAAAAAAAAGGTTCTAAATTTGGTAGTATATTTTTTATATTTGTTACTTCATAACTCGATTAGTTGTAAACCGATTTATATTTATTATCTGAAAAGATATGTTTACAGATTAGTTCCATAAATATTTTATCAAAATCAGTTCAGTAGTTTAGTTTTTAATTCGAAATAACTAGTTTTTCCACAACTGAAATCGGTTTTTATTATGGAATACAATTTAATTATTGGATATATCAATACACAAAGTATTTGTCTTCAATTTTAATTAGTTAGTAGATATTTAAGAAATATGGAACATTACACATAATCTACCTTCCTAATTACTGTATTGATATATTGTTAAGAAGTATACATTATTTATTTATTTATTTTATTTATTTATTATTAGTGTATTTATTTATGTTGACATCTTAGATAAATAATTGGTGTTCACTGCACTACGTAGCAGAAACCGATCATTAATCTAAGGTGAATATAAAATAAGTATTTATTTAAATAAGGTACTTAAATAAATACAGAATAACATATGTCGCCCAGGGGGAGGACATATAGAAATATACTAATTATTAGTGATTAATAAAACATGTGCAATTAGATAATTATGTATTATGATCTAGTTTTGACAAGGTCATATATTGTGTGGGTGTAAGTAGTACTGAACTATGCATACTTTTGTGACGGCGTGGCATTGAGACGAACACATGATTAATACTTTTTTTAATATTATAATGAGCGCTAAGTAATTATCTTTCAATCAAGGTCACAAAATTATTCAAACGATATGATTATATCATTAAAATAAATTAAGAATTAGAACCATAAATTAAAATATTTTCAAATATCCACCCACTGTAAAAAAAGAGAAAATATAGTAGAATATTTTGTAAGTAGGTATGTATGTAAGAATTACATTATACGCTATTTCGAGATGTCACAGTTCAGAAGTGACTAGACAAAACTCATTTTAAAACGGACTATTCTAAAGTATCTTTATATGAACCTATCTGTAAAATTAAAGTTTTCACAATTTAATTTAACAAACTAATTTAAAGCAGTTCTTAAATAAATTTATTATAAAATATATTAATATTGGTCATGTGAAATTGAAGTTTTTAACTTAAAAATAGAGACAAATATGGCTCTTATGAATGATCACTTACGAAGATTCTAGAGCTATCTAATTACAATGAATAATACCTAATAATAATCAGTTATTTATATACTTTATTATATAGAATCATAATGAAAAGTTTTCTGTGTGTTTATTATACAACAGGGTCTTATACTAGTGATAGAGTGAACAAAATACACATAATGTACTTTCGTACTTTTATAGATGCCCAAGAGGAAATTAATTCTATTTTACAAGACTATACACTTCCAAGATATTAAAATAAATGAAAAATATGCTATTTTTAGAAAAAAAAGTAATTGGTTTAAAGTTATTGCAGAATCAAAAATTAATATTTATTTATTATTTTCAGGAACACTACTACATCACTGGGATGAAAAATGTTTAAACAAGAACTATTTTTGCTGGTAAGATTTTATAGTAATGTTACAATTTATGAAATCTAAACAAAAAAAAATATTAACTTCTTGAACAAATTTCAAATATATTATAGTAATAAATTTCATAATTATTATATTACTCGTAGTTACACCGAGTTATATCATTTTACGTCCCAAAGGCCATATGTATGCTCATTCCTCTAATATTTTTTAAAGAATGTTTATTATTTAGTACACAGTTATACCATTTTCTGGAGGCTGTGTTTCGGTTTGAAGAGTGGGATATGGCGTGAATTTACTGGGTACAGAGGAATAACACCTGAGTCCTCAGGAATGGCAGCGCATGGGGACTATCATGGGCGAAACAGTATACTCTGTTATGCCCATGGTACTGCTCATGTCTATAGGCGACGGTTACCACTTTCCATCAGGTGGGCCGTCAGCTTGTTTGCCATTCTAAGTTGTATAAAAAAAAAAAAAAGGCAAAGCAGCAGCTTTACCATTTAAATGATTAGGATTATATCTACTAGATTTATTAAAAAATAGATCACAATTTAATCAACCAATAGTTAGAAATATTTTATAATGGATAATCTAATTAGATAGATGACATGATAAGTCTCTATTAGTCATATGTTATCTAATTATAATCTAATAATTAAAAATTCTAAATGGATTTGTAATCAATAGAAAATTTACCTATGACGACAAGCAAAGTCTTTGACATTTAAAGCCAAGGTGAAGAAAAGAAGGTGCGAATCCACACATTAAAAATTTTGATGTAAGATAAAACCATTTATCTAATATATAATAAATTTATTCTCACATATTCTCCAAAATTACTTTACTTATTATTAAAAATATATAATGGATGACATTTTGAAATTATTTTTATATTACCTACAGATAACTACGCTGAAAATTAATTAAAAAAACCGAGCACAGAAATAAATCATAAGTATAAATGAAATTTTAACAGAACTTAGTTATGACTTAACCAGATTGGTAAACGTTATTGATCAATAGAATGTCATCTACTTGATCTAATAAAATCAAAACTATTATCGACAGTATTGATTAATGTTTTACAATATGATAGGATATATGTAACATGTATATATAATATGTATATAGGATATGAATAATAATTATATTATCGAAGGTAGACTGTGATACTACCACGTGATATTCAGTCGTTCTCACGTCTATAGACTATGGCTGCCACTTTCATCAGGTAAGCTTGTTTGCTATTCTGACACGAATTACAAGCCAATCAAAAATTTTATCTTGGATTTTATTGCCACCATTTAATATATCCAATTGATTTTCCCTATTAACGTTCAGTGAATCGAACAGTATTTAATGTAGTTAAAATTCTGTTTCATACACTACTTCCTCGATACCATCCGTGGATTCTTTTACGCGTGATGTAATATCATAGACATGAATTTCACTTTTTTGTGTTTAGTCATCGTTCAATACGTCCTGCATTGTGGTAAGGCATATGCGGTAAGGTCTATTAGGTTGTTTCGATTAATATAATTAGTTAAATAATTAAACTTATTTAGAAAAATACTTAACAGCTATTTATATTTTATCAAATGAATACATCTAAAAAGAGTTATTAATTTTATCATATAAATTAAATTTATTAATGAGTATATATTTATTAAGATACTTAAAACAATTTTTAACCAGATGGTTAAAATTTGTATTAAAAATGTATTTAGGTAGATACCTAAATACATTTTTAATGCAAAAAAGGTATATATCCAATTTTATGAACATTTTAATGGTTTACCAGAATATGTAGCGTGCAGAAACCGTGTAGCTCCTGGCATAGAATAGGCTACGCCTTCCTTTCCTGTGAGTGTCGTAAGAGGCGACTGAGGGAGTTTATGGTAGAGAGAAGAGTAGCAACGTCCCTCTTAACGTCTTAAGTCTTACGTCACCAAAATTTAAACTGCGGTTACCAACATACCTGCCAAGTTGAGCAACTACTGGCAAAACACTACTGCTGAACATAAGTCTCTCCCAAAACAGGGAGACCTATGATCAGCAGAGGACAGTTACCGGCTGATACAACATACAACAACCAGAATGTAACTTGTACGTATATAATTATTTGTTTTATTATGATATTTATAATTAGATATGTAAAACACAATTACTAATTAAGTAAAATAGGTAGCTGTACTAATGTATTATTTATATAATATAATATAAAACGTTATTGTTTTACAGCGGTATAATAAAGACGTTATATGCGTTATTGATGAGGTATGCCACTATGGATTAACCACTATGATTCATTTTTACTAATACTCATACATTTGTCACAAATTTCCTGTACGAAATTTTTGTTTCTTAGAAGTACGAAGCGACTAACCAAAATATATCCTCCTATTTATTTATTAGGTGCAATTTTTTTACACGTGTCTACACTATTTTTTTAACTACATTACTTTTAAAAATTTAATAAATAGTAGATTAGCTACATATTACATACATATAAATAAAACTTAATGCTAATTGTAGTCACAGATACTATACAAATGTATAATTATCTGATACATAATAATTTTAAAAGAGTAGCTGTTGAAATTCTTGCGAGTTCTTCTTAGCAGATTAAGAACATGCCGAATCCAGCAGTAGAAACATAAAAAATAACAAAGTCTATTTCAATAAAAATATTCTATTATATTCTAACTTTTAATTTACAGAAACCAATGAAGCTGTCTTTAAAGTCATTATTATAAACTTTAAATATCGTTTATCCTGAGAAAGTGACTTTTTTAACAATATAACATGACTTTATATGTAACTCCTAGTACTGAGGAATACTATTTAAAAAATAAGCTTATCTTTATGTTTTTTGGTCTTTTAGAATATCTTATATCTGTTGTATTCATAAAATATACACTATCTCTCTCATCCATCGCACCATTTAAAATATTTCAGGGCCAAAGTCCCACATGTAAAGCGATACCATCATCAAGCCGACGCAATGCCAATTTAAGAAACAATGACGCTATGCCAACATACGATCCATACATACCGAGGACAAACGCAATATTTTACAATTGTTCGTTCGCTGACTGCAAAACAATTCGACTGCACTCTATAACGGAAGTTACATCTCCTGAACTTACGTTAAAGTCGTGCTTTTTAGAACCAACCGGGTCATACGATTGTGAGACAATCAGATACAATCACCTCAAAAACATAGACAAATTATTATTTCTGAATACTAATATCAAGAATAAAATATATTATATGGTCGACTGTTTACTCTATAAAGACCGTGGGCGTGTATGTCATAAGAGAAACGGTGATAATTCGCATACCAAATTGGTCGACGCAGATAATATAGTACGCCCTAGTGAGTCAAATATATTGTCACAAGATGAATTTATATGTGAAGAAAGTCAACAGGGATTAATTAATTGCGACATCAATCCGTTCATTTCATTTAATAATAATCTTAAACTTAAAAAATCTATCATCGCCGATGATAATGTTTTGCTGAAAACAGGAAATTATGTAGTGTCTTTAAAAAAAAACTGCATTGGTGAGTGGTGCGGATACAGTGGAATAATATCACGATCGTCGGGAAGAAGATACAGTAGATACGAACCACCTAGCGGCAAAGTGTACCGGTGCTATTACACCAAAGAACAACAAGTATGCAAAGAGCTATACGGCCAAAAGAAATCCGTTTATAACTAGCGAGCTTGGTTAAATACGTAACATTAGCATAAAAGTCTATTTTTAAATCTAGTTAAAAAAACATGAACCACTATTATTCAATCGATTTAAAATTGGGAATACGTTTCGGATCTACGTACCTATAACCAATTTTCGAGTAGCGCCCAAACTGAACAGTTTCTGAGATGCATGTCGCAAGCGTAATGGTTTACCACGAGAGTGGTCAAAACTAGTTTGTATCGCAAGTTTACTAACTTAGACAAACGTAAATATCAAAGAAATAATTTGTGTTCATACAATAATATTACATACATAAAAAAATATATTGTGTTAAATTAAGAAATACTTTACATTTAATTCATAAATACGTATGTATTTATGAATTAAAATATAACAAGTAATATTATACTATTTCCTATGTCCAAAGATTCACACAACTTCACTACATTTCTTTGACATTACAATGAACTTAGACCGAGAATAAAGTTAGTAAATAATAAACAAATAAATTGAAATCCTCTTTGACATTAAAATACACTGGGTCACCATTGTACCATTCGAAGTGCCCTGAGAGTGAAAGTGGACAGCAACTCAATCTTTACAATGCTTGGAGTTACATATACAGGACCCGGTTTTATGTTATAAAATGTCATTTCGACACACTGTAGCAATTTCGTTACTTAACTACATAACAACCATAAAACAATATTAGTTCAGTACCTACTAATATTATTAATATAAAAATTTGAAAAGATATTTAAATGTTTGCGTGTTTGTTTCTCAAGCATACTTAAATGGCTAAACGGATTTGAATCAAATTTTGTACAAGAGTAGATTATATGACAAATTAACACATTTTTTATATACTGATTCAGGCGGATGGGATATATTATATATATTTATTTAGTTAAACTTCAAGACACAACTATATTATATAAGTAAGGCTACATAATGGCGGATTCAACGCCTTATAGCGTTCTGTACCAATCAACCATGAGGCAACCAGAAAATTAAGTAGGTAGTTAATATATTTATATTATACAATATAAATATAACACTATAATAGTGTCTCAAGTAATACACTAAGAACATAAAATTTTTCTGTATAACCAAGCAAAAATTATTCTTACTTTTTGGTTTAATAGCGAGCCATGCATTGCTTATCATAATTGTATTGTATGGTTATAAATATGAGTTTGTTTGATTATTTGTTTCTTTTTTTTGATACCACTTAACATTTTAACGGCCCAACCAATAATATTTAGCTACTTTTTATCCCGATTAATAAATATATACCAATAATACGATATCGCGAGTAA